GAGATTGTACTGGGTGGGGAAGTTTCCCACTTGTACCAGGAAGGGAAATTCTGCCAAGCCAACGTGTAGGTCGACGTCGAATCTCACCATCCAGGGGTGAGGACACTCCCACCCCCGGGGTAAATTGTCGCCACACTAACGGGGCTAATGAACGTAGCAGTAGACGTACCCGAAAATATCAACATATCACACATCAATATTTATGAACCAAAGGATAACTACCTGTGCAAAATTGTTAGGCCTGAAAATGTTCAAAGTAGCTCAAGGGAATTTCTTAACAAACTTGTTGATCCTGTATTTTTCATGTGTGTATTAATGATGAGATACAATACTAGAACTATTCGTGATCTCAGGTGCAATGAAATTTTAAGTTTGCATGCATTTAGACCAATTGTAATGTTACATTCTATGCTAATACAAACAGAAAAAAAAGTTCCAAGCATATAAAGGCTGACTAATACTGCAAAAAATGCAGAGTTGAAAAAATCGATGTTGATGGAAACGCACGTTTTGAGAGTTTTCAAACCGTCAGAATGTTTTCTTTACATTATCTTTTTGATTTCTGTCCGACTGTCTATCTCTTCTCCCGTCCATCTGTCTTACCGTACATCTGTTTGTGTGACTATGTTCATCCACTTGTCCTTCCGTCTCTTGTCTCTTACATATTGTGAAGAAAACCAGCACGTAAACCGTGTTCAGAATTTAACCCAAATGATATTCCCAGATCGAATGGACCAAACCGTCCAGCCCTGGAAATTTGAAATCGATCTTTAAATTATTTGAGTAACTTAAAGTATTATTGACAATATAGGAGATTATTTCGATAAACGGAAAATTGTTTCTTGCTCTGGTGATGTACAAGGGGACGGCTGTGAACAAATCAGAAGTTTAAGATATGCAATGAAGGCACATAGCTTACTGTACGGTACTGAAGGCCAATACTATGGGCACAGGTTGTATCATATAATTTCTCTAGAATGAAGTCATCTTGTTAATAACATGTTAGTGTGAATAGTGTGTGAAATGAGAATGTAATATATATTTGTTATGATGGCGATAATAATCTTAATGATGGCAATAATGATAATAATTTTCTGCTGCGGTTGAGAGATAGTGGTAATTACAAATAGAGTAAAAATAATGATTGTTGGCTGAGATCATTCAGTTACTAATGATGATTGTTTTGAATACTTTGAATTTATTTCATAATTAATAAACAAAAATAAAATTATTACAATAGAATTAATAGAATTAACAGTAAATTTTGTATTTATGCACGTTTGGGTAGTCATTGTTTTGGTTAGTATAGAAGCAGTGGTTGTGGTTATTTTGAATGTGATGGTAAAGCTAATCCTGTGGTTGTATGGTATTGTACGTATGTTATAGAAGTAACGACGACTGAACACACAAATAAGCGATTTAATAACCATCGAGAGATGTGGCTCAGGGTATCAACTTATGTCATTGTAGTGTCTCTGACGAGGTCTTGAGGTTTGAGACCCGGCGGTGGATTTGTGATTTGTGACACTAGTTTGTCATCTAAGTTGAGGTCTGTCGCTGTATGGAGGAGAATTCTAGCGGCCGGCTGCTCTCATCGATAGTTTTCCGTGGTTCGTCCGGTCCATAACATGCGAATGCCGGAGCAGTACTCATCCAAACAGGCCTCGGACCGCGCGCAATATTTCCTCCCATTTCTTGCCCTACCCCTTATGCACGTTTACATTACCATGCATACTGGAAGACGGGTTGGGAGCATAGAGCGTGTCCCGGCTAGGGCGGTGCCTGGCTCGTGGGAGATACCCGGTTGTGGAAAACCCCACTAACCGATAGTAGGTTGACTCCGGGTCTCGCCATCCAGCGAGGTAAGATCACCTCCACTGCACGAGCAAAAATCCTGCACTACACCTACGAGACTATTGATCTTAGCAGTTGACGGGCCCAAAATCACTAATAATCGATCAGTGAATGAATGGAACAACGCAAGAACGCGCGGGATGCGCGGCGGGAGCGGGCTCACCTGTGGGGGCGCCATGGCGGCGTGGGCGCGAGCGAGGGTGCGAGTGCGGAGCAGGACGGCGCGATGCGCGTTATAAGGCTCCCGTTGCGTCAGAGCGCCCGTTCGCCACGCCCACTGCGGAAGCGCCTAGACGCGCGCTCCCGCCCGCGCGTTCGTTCCGGCGCCCGCCTGGGCGGGCGTCGCCGTACGTGCTCGCCCGGGGCCTGCTCCCCTTTCCCGCTCATCGTCGCCAACCTCTATTCTTTCCGTAATAAGCAGTCAGCTCCAGGATCTACCTCGGATAGAGCGAAGAGTTTAACGAGTTTTTTTCTGTGTACTCTGGCAATTGAAGGATATGAAAGGTAGTTTTTTGTGAAGTGAGTTTTGAAAATTGGAAAATATTCTCTATACAAAATCATGGGCCTGGTACTAACACTTCTCATAGTTAATTACAAATTTTGTGAATTATTCGTTTGATATGGGTTGAAATTCATAATGGTGAGCGGTAATTTCGTGTAGATCTGCTTCGTTGGATAGCATGCTGGTGAGTTGGAATGGCCCTTTCTAAACATTCCATATTTCATGTGGAAAGTTCATTGACTCGTTGTATACTTCTTCGTTGTTTGTGGATGTATTTATAAAATCTTTGAATTGCATTTATGTGAATAACAGATACTAACTTTTAATGTACAGAAATAATACAAATGGAGAAATGGTGAAATGTGATGCAGTAAACAGCTACTAGAAATTCAGAGAAAAAGAAAGAGTACCTCGCTAGAGATTTTACGATTGGTATTGAAAGCAGAAATAGAACAATTCCTAAGTAACAGAAAATATATATATAAACGTGTGCGTGATCACCGGGAAGGCCTCAATAAATATTGAAATTCAGAAGAGGAGACTGAAAACGGAACGCATCCTTTAGGCATGCCTTTAATAATAATGCTTAGACGTTTAGCTTAAATGACGAACATAGCTATTGTTTTGTCAAGGCTACATTGTAGCAGTACGTTTTAAAACTAAGTGTGAAATTTTGTCTCTAATTGTAAAAGATACTCATACTCTTTATTTGGAATCTTAACTCGCCGAGTAAATGCTACTGTAATGAAGAGACGAAATAGTGGTATTAATGAAATTAGAAAATAATAAATATACTTTTGAGAATATCGGGATATCGACCGCAGCGTGGTGACCAATGTAGCTTTCCAAGCTATGTTTTACTGTTCACTTGAAATGTAGGAGTGTTACTTATTTCACTACTTGCAGACTGTGATCTACAACTGGCTGAGTGCGTATCAGCCCCATGCCAACCGAAATATAAAGTACGGTGTATTAACTCTTCAAAAATTAATATTGATAACAAATCCAGTAACAAAGGGACGAGAAATATATGAAAAAATGGCGAGTTCGTCAATTTTTTAATCCATTTCAAATGGTGCCGAACATGATAATGAAATTAACAGTTAAATATAGTTAATTTTTAAAGTTTAAATACTAGTGCAATAGTCAACTATAAAATATTTTAATTATAAAAAAATGTTTTACTAATCAGCTTCTGTTGGTTAGTTGGTAATTGTAAAATAATACTTTTTGTTCTCTTTTCTTTTCTTCTTCGGCATTTTCTCTTTTCTAGGAGTTAATACTTCCCCCCACTTCGTAGTTTCTGTATCTGTTTGCTGCGGTTCTGTGTTCTGGTTTGTAGGTTATGAGGTAGATCCAGGGCGTTGGAATTGACATTTCCTTTCTCGCACGTGTTAAGGATATTTGCTTCGCTCGCTTCATGGAATGCAAGACTATAATGTGAAATTGACAGTGAAGCGAGATTTACTCGCCAGAATATCTAGCGGAAAGAATTAACAAAGTTACTTATCTTAATACTGTAATTTTCTTGTAAATCCTGACCTGCCGCAGGGAGGCAATTAGTAACCCTCGTACTTTCTGGTAGTTTCTCCTAGTTTCCTCCCTTAAGTAGTATCTTTTGAGTCTAAAATGATCCTCTAATTACTACAAAGGATCGAGATCAACTTGTGTATTTTTTATTATAAGACCGAATTGAAGATATTTATTTTTTGTTTATTAATAAAAATATTTTGTAGAGTCGTAGCTAGTAGAAATATTCTTGTGAATTTGGCAACTTTTTGGGTGCAAATCAGCTCAGTCTGCGCCGTAAATGGAACTTTTCGTGAAAACAAGGGCCCAAATATAAATATTAATTATATTTCGACAAATTCATGTACGATTAAAAAACAGATAATTTCAAATTATGTTCAATTTAGTGTTCCCATAAATTAAATTTGTTTACTATATTTTTCAGTTTTATTATAAAAACAACAAGGTTCAGCATAATTAAAATAATTGAAACCATAATTCATTATTACATTTAATTAATAATTTATTATGGAAGTTGTGAAGGAAATCTATAATTACTCAAACTTCGACACAGATGGTTGGTGTTCAGTCAGATTATACCAACTTCGAATGTAAAGGTCTCAAAGAAATGGATTCTTACAAAGTTTAGGTCGAAATGGAAGAAGTTTCATTCGCATTTGTTCGTGTAGATATGCTCATCTAACACTAATCTGCATGAATAAATATATTATATTATAAAATTTAACTAGTACTATATATGTGTGTATTATATTAATTATACATAATTACATTTATAGATAAATTCCACCAATTTCATGTTGCACCTTGGGAATGTAGCGTTAGCAGCCCGCTCTATCGCCAGAGTTGGGAACAAATTCGATACTGCATGACCGAGTGATCGATTAAAATGCGTTATAAATCGCTCGCTAAATCCATCTGATTAGCGGGTTCCGATATTGTTTCGAGGACGAGTTGGCGCACGCACAGAGGTCCAACAGTCGATTGCTGTAGTTTGCCTGTGCTAAAAGTGTATAAACCGGTCTAAATCTAAAACTAAAAAATGAGAAGAGTCGATCGAAGCCATTTTGTGGAAGCAACTCCGACGTTTCTAAGAGTTGTAGATGGTTCCACCAGTTCACCTCCATCCCATGTGTCCTTCTTCACTTGCGCTCTCCTCGTCCGACTGCGCCTGCGCCTGCACCTGCAGCGTCGGCCCGCCCGCGGCGTCGGCGCAGCGCCACCCTGCAGCTTCTCGGAAGCTCTC